TATGAGAGTGATGACCGGAGTTCCAATGAGGCAACATCACCAAGTGATGCGGGAATACATCATACGATACTTGCTCACACCTACTTGGTCCGACTTGGTAAGGTACTTGCTCTGAAGGGACATCAGACGGGATTACGCCTCACCCTACTTGTTTTGGAGTGTGCCCAGAAATTATTTTTTGAACTACAATTGGGTGATTTGTCATGGATGCCGCGAAAACGCATAGAGAAGATGAGTGAAGACTTATTGCTTTTACAGTGGAGAATTGTTGCTACGGTACTATACGATGCGGAGAAAACCGATGATGATGTGGTGAAGGAATTGATGCTTTTGCACCTTGCCCACAGTGGAGTTGCCGAGTACGGTATTCATTACTCGCCGTGGGAGAAGCATAAGGCACTTGTGGAGCCGCCGGATGGCGCTGACTGGAAGCATTTGTGGCTATCACCAAACACGTTATTGATTGAACTTTTGAATAAAACGCGTGGAGAAGCGTTGAAGGAGTATGCCCCTTGGCTGATTGTTTTGAGGGCCGCCTTTACGTTCCTCTATACCCCGCTGCGTAGCAATTCGAGTCGACTGAGCATGGCTCTCTCTATATGTCGTCTCATACGCTACAATGCCGGTGTCTGGTCCCTTGTCAAACGAGGCGTCTCCTCATGTTCTACGGCAGAGCTGGATGGGTCTATTAAGGCAGATCAACAGGCTTTGGGTGCGGAGGATGCGGCCACGTTCGATGACTCGTTGTGGGGGATTGAACTCTCAAATAATGGGGTGGCTGCCATGGAGAAGTACATTACAACAGCCCGCTCCAAGACCATGCGATCTCTGGAGCTTTATGGCCCGGAGAAAAGGCCTTCTTTGCTCTCTATGGACCCCAAGCAGGCGGTACAATGCCACGATCAAACCTCTGCTAAAATACGTCAGTTTCAGGCCTTTATTTGGAAAGAGGCGGCTCTTTACAAGAAATGTGTGAAAGAAGAGGGGAGTGCGATTATTTCTGCTCACGCTGCCTACCGCTTCTCTTTGCTCCCGTGGTGGGGGCATTGTATCAGTCTCTACTCCAAGAGTCCGGTGCCGTTGGACCGCTGGGAGTTAGACCGATTTATGGGTGCTGAGTGGCAACGCATACGTCTGCGTCGTTTCATTCACAATGTGCGAATGACGGATACAGAAAGCAGCGACCAACTTTTGCGAGGCGTCTATCGAGACGATATGACTTCTACTGATGATGTTAGCCTTTTGCAGTTTTACTCTATCACGGCAGTTCCACAGTTATCAACGGTTGATGGACCTGAAACAGTTTCATTGGCTGTCAAGTGCAAACTGGTGCTTCCGATGGATCGTGTCCCTATCATTTTGTACATAGCACCAAAGAATATATCGTACATTGTAGATTGGTTTCAGCATAGTCTAATGCAGTTGGGGAAGGAGTCTACTGGCGAATTATTTCACTCGCATGATTCCGGACCATCAACCTTTGCGGAGATGCATGAATTGGAAAATAGATTGCCAAAGACGTTCAAGCACCAGCAAGAGATACCGTGCCTTCGACGTGTGGTGAAGGTCTCTTCTATACGTGCCGTGTGGCCGCGTCGCAATTTGCTTCAACCCCGTGCATTGGAGTTGCTTCTCTTCAATGGAGAAACCCTGTTTCTTGCGTTCGACTCGGAAGAGATGAAAAAAGCTGTGATTGAAAGCATCACCGACTACGCCCGACCCCACCTTGACAAGACTTTAATGCTGACGGAAAATAATTTGAGGATGTGGCGCAACTGGTGGTGCGAGGGCCGCATTTCCAACTTCCACTATTTGATGTACTTGAACTTTGCGGCAGGTCGCTCGTATGGGGATTTGCGGCAGTATCCCGTGTTTCCCCATGTCGTGGCGGACTTTCTCTCTGACACGCTCGATTTGTCATCGCCCACCGTCTACCGCCGGTTTGACAGGCCGATGGGGGCGCAGACGCCGGAACGCGAATCGAAGGCCATTCGAAAGTACGATGAGATGGCTGTGCTACCGAAAACGGGAGGAAATGTGCCCATCGAATTGATTCCCTACCACCACGGCTCTCATTACTCCCCTGTTGGAGGGGCACTTCACTTTTTGGTTCGCGTGCAGCCCTTTTCAGACTACTTCTTGGATATGAACTCCAAGTTAGACGATGCGGGTCGTGTTTTTGACTCCATGGCCACGGCGTACTTCATCTCAACAGGTAAGGATGTGAAGGAGCTCCTGCCAGAGCTGTATTGTTTGCCGGAGATGTTTCTTAATTTGAATCGAATTCCTTTTGGGGTGAAACAGGACGGGAGAATTGTAAATGATGTGCATTTGCCTCCATGGGCATCTACGCCACGTGAGTTAACGCAGAAGTTGCGGCAGGCACTTGAAAGTCGTTACACCTCTGAAAATCTGCACTCCTGGATTGATTTGGTGTTTGGCTACAAGCAACGGGGTAAAGAGGCTGTAACGGCTGTAAATGTATTTCACCCGCTAACATACGAGGGATTCATTGATCTTTCCAAAATTAAGGATCCGGTTCTCTTGTCTGGTCATGAAGCACAAATTGATTGCTACGGTCAAGTTCCCTTGCAACTTTTTACACAGCAACACAAACCGCGAGGGAAGTCAACAGACTCTTCATTCCTTCAAAGCCCATGCCCAACACTGCGCTACGAGGCCTCCAATTCACGCTCCTGTATCGTGCTTCATCCTGAAAACCTCACACCAATATTAAATGCCTCAAAGGTAGACGGCACCGTCGTTGTATTTCCCCGCACAAGACCTTCCACAGCTGCCCGGGGTGCAGAAGAGTCGAGTGAGTGGAAGTTCCCTCTGATCCACCCACGGCCTATAGCATTACCAAAGGATTGTTTGGCGTTTACAGTGATCAATGATCAACTGAAAGATTGTCTTTTCCTTCGGGGGAACTGCATTGTACTTGTGGACGGTAAAGATTTGTCCCGCGAAATGTGTTCTTTTCACCTAGGCAACGGAAGGGCCACAACTTTTACTGTCGACACGCCGAATGTTTATGTTGGAATGGCATCTGGTGCAATCCATGTGCTGACGATCAACAATGAAGAATGGACGGAGGTGGAGCAACCTATCCAGGAGGAAGTTGGAAACAAAAACAGCATGATGCGTGAGGCGGAAAAAGCACCACAGAAAGAAAAGAAAATGATGCGAAATAGGGGTGCCGTTCGGCGTCGTGTGTTTGTCTTATATGGGCACATGGAGCCTGTGACCGCACTTTGCGTCTCCGCCGAGTGGGGAATTTTAGTTTCCACTGCAGAGGATTATAAAGTGGCGGTGTGGGATACGGCACGCCTTGTTCTCCTCCGCACCATTCCTTTTCCGTGTCTGACAG